TATGAGTAATTAAATAGCTGATAAAGAACAAAGACTCCTTGCTCATCATGGGCTAGAAAGATAGAAGGGAGCTCCTGCCAAGCCCTGGAACAAGTAAGGTCACGAGTAATTTCTACCTTTCTTTCTATAAACATTTTTGGTTTTGCATGTCAGGTTGTCTTTGTCTTTGACGTAATCTGTTCAACTCCGCTGTTATGAGGTAAAAGCAGCTGTACACAATATGTAAATTAATAGGTGTACCTGAACTACAGTACAACTTTATTTACAATATAGACAATAGCAGGGAATTGGCTCAGTGGTACTTATATTGTTTATTGATTGCTGGTTTAGAAAGGTCTCTTCAAAATAGTAGACAATAATGTTTGGAAATAACAAAGACCAAATAAACTCACATCTGAAATCATAGAGTAGGACTTATCTACTGCAGAAGCTTATGCTAATTGGTTCATGATTCCTCTTTGAGAAGGATTAGATTTAAATAGGGAATTAGTAAAGATATTTTAATAAGCTGAATAACATTAAAGATGTTATAAATTAATTTCATTGCTCTCTTCACAAAGCAGAGACATCAAAATTTTCAAAACTAATAAAAATAACTTTGATATCTACATGGCATTATTTTAAAATGCACTATTTTTTTCTAATTCTCATAAAAATCTTGAAAACACATAAGCCTTGAAGACAAGATATGAGTTTTATTTAAATTATACCCAGGAACAAGGAAGAGGCCTGACACAGAAAAGTTATGTTTAAATGCATTTTATGAAGAGTAAAAGGCACTTTCTTTAACAGTTGAAAAATATGGTTCTAGAGAGGTTACATGGTTTAAGAAATTTGCAAAATCAGTATCAGAGCATCACTGCAATCTAGATTATCTGACACTGGATTTTAAATTTCTATTATGCTCTACACTCATTAATATAAAAAAGAATATGTGGCTATTATAATTAAATTCATACACTAAAATGATTATGACTCCTTCTTTGGAATGGACTCAGTATCTGCTCAACAAGAGATGCCTTCCCACCCTTACCCAGGAAGGTCATGTTAATACAAGTGACACTGCATTATGGCCAAGCTATTTAGTCCATACGTGGATATCTGACCCAAACTATGCCCTAGAAAAATATCCCTGGTTATTTTAGAAAAATCATTGTAAAAGAGAATAAAATATAAGTTTAGGAGTTATTAACCAGTATGTTCTATCTCTTGCAAAACAAAAAAAGAGAAAAGAATGAAGAAATTTTTTTTAAATTTATTTTTAAGGATTTATTTATTTATGCATATACAACTGGGGTACAAGCCAGAGGTGCAGGTGGTGAGAGGACACACCAGAGACAGAGTGGGGAGCAGAACACTGCTGAGGGGAGCAACAGTCGGGTCAGGAAAGGTCTGCTGCACCATATGGGTCACCTCCTGGGTGGGGTTAAAACTCATGCTGATGTGGCTTTAGCTTCTTAATGTGGTGCTATAACCCGCTGTGCCATCAGGGAGGAACCCAGAATGAAGCAATTTACAGAGAGCTGCTTGGATTAAAGCTAGAGGGAGTGCCCTTAGTGGCTTCAAGTCTTGACTCAGCTGTTTCAGATACATGCAAATACAACCTTATACCTGGTATCATAGGTGATTCCATGGTCCCCAAATATATTATCACTTCCATTTTGGCTATATTATCATTTCCATTTTGGCTTATATTTCAGTTATAATCAATTAAAATGTTATAGTTACTACAGAGAGTCATTCAGTGAACACAGAGAAATATTTATCAATTGTATACCTAATTTAAATCTGGAAAAGACTATATAAAATTAAGAGGAACATTAGGACAGATGACCAGAAAAAATATATTATTGACTTTTGAAATTTTAGATACAAGACAAAATTATACAATTTTTATTTATACTATTTATTTTTCAATGCCAAAAAAGTCATAGGTATTATTTATATCGATATGACTATGCATAGGTTAAACTGAAAGACAATGTTGTAATTTAGGCTGATCAAAATAACAAAATGAACTCATCTCTGTAACTTAAATGGAATACTTGAATTTATGTGACAGCGATTCTTGAGTGTCTGTGGACCAACTTGAGACTCTCAGGGATCAGCAAAGTATAGTCACTTCTCAGAATTGACTTATAATTGAAAAATAGGTGGGAACCATAATGTAGCATATACAGATGTCAAAGAATAATTCCACATAGAGTGGTACAGTGGATGTGAACTGGCCCCATATAATTCTGTATACCTGTCTACTACAACCTACCTGTAAACTAAAGTTAATATCAATCATAAAAAAGAAAAAAGGAATGACTACATGTAAATAAATGTTGAATTAAAATGCTGCATACCTGGAACATATATGTTATGAATCAATGTTACCTCCATAAAAAATGTACTTTAAAAAATACTTGGGTGACAAGTATTACCCTATCCAAACATTTTTGACCCCAAAATATTCATAAAGAGGGCTTACTCTCCTGCAGAATCCCACAAGCCTACAGATTACAGTGGATATCTGCAGCTATTCTTTCTTGAATAAATGAGATCCAATGTTTCTTAAAACATTGGCAGATGTTTCTCATATAGCATGCATCCTCATTAAATATGTAATATGCCCTAAGTTAGTGTTTCTCAAAGTGTATTCACTGAACCAATAGCATCAGCATTGCCTGGGAATTGTTAAAAGCACAAATTATTGGACCCCACTTAAGATCTGAATCAGAAATATTAACTTGAGGTGAGGAATCTATGATTCTGACATACTGCTATCGATTGAATTACACCCCCCCACACACACACACATACATAGATGCACTCAGAAAATTATGTTTGTGTCCTAAACCAATGTGATCATATTTGAAGGTGGGATCTTGGGAGATAATTAGGTTTGGATGAGGTGGTGATGTTAGTAGTATCAGTATAAGAGACCAGTGAGTTTGTTCTCTCTCTTCCCATGATCATTCGCTGAGGAAAGCCCAACCCGGAAGAGATGGTTTCTAAGTACAAGTCAAGAAGGTGATCATACCTGGCCCTAAATCTAACCTCACTTTGATCTTGTACTTCCTGGAATCCAAAACTGTGAATAATAAATGGCTGTTGTTCAAGCAACTCAATATAAGGAATGTTGTTACTGCAGCCTTAGCTAACAACCACACTAAAGTATGAAATTACTATTCTAGGGCAAGCAAGTCTTTTTAATAATATTTTGGAAGGGTTAAAAATGCATACAACTGAGATAAGAAACTCACAAAATGAAGAATGAAGAATATATATGAAGAATATATGTGTGTGTAAATAAAATGCATACTGACAACACCGATATATATCTGGATAATTAAACAACCAGGTTCACATAACCAAAATCTTTTGACGATGGTGTCTGTTTTGTTACAGCATCATGAAAAATATATTATGCTTGAGCCTGTTACTTTTGTGAAAAAAAAATTTGGAAACACTAGTTAATACAACATGATTATAATCTTTTAAAGCTTCATACATTCTACTCTTGGGTGATTCTTTCCTATTTTCTTAGATAATTATAGTGAATTATTGGGTCGCCTAAATATCTTATTGGATAATTGAGAGCTTGAGTACTACAATATCAAATTATTTGCTTTAAAGAAAATGTTTTAAGCTCTTATTTACTGAAAAAATTATTTATGCACTTGGACATGATTACATTAATTTATTACTTAGCACTAAAATTATATTTTAGAAAAATCAAGAAATAATTGTAATTGTACAACTATTAGCATGAGTGGTTTAACTGGTTGGTTTTGTTATAGAAAATTGCTTATTTTGTTTGCACATTATTGGATTACTGTTTTAACAAAATTTACTCCAACTACAAAAAAAAAAATTTACCGAATTTTTTCTTTAGTAATTTGAGCTCTGAAAACCATCATCCTAAAACTTAATTTCCAAATTAAATATTTTTTGTTGTAAAAATCGCATTGGCTTGCTATACTTCAGTGTCCTTCAAACTTGCATTTAAAATGGTATATTTTACAAAATATATTCACTAGAGTTTATGAGCATTCAAATATATTTTTATTTAGTACTGACTAAATTTAATAAAATCTTTGTCACTGCATTTATTCTATTCTTCAGTCAAATGATTTTAAACAAATACTACAATTGTTTAAGTTATTTAAATAAATCAGCTCTTGAAGGGATGTTTTGTAATGTTAATTTATGTTTATTTATATTCACTAGGCCAAAAATATTGTTGGCTTGTAAAATAGGAAATAGTTACTTTTCATATTTATGCAAATCTCTGCATGATTAAGATTGGAAAACAATATTTTATATACAGCAATTTTGATTGACATTGCCAAACAAAATTATTTTATAATTATAAATAATGTACTTCTTCACAGTTTGTTCCTCTAGTGATTTCTCAATATATGCAAATGCCATCTGATTTTTACCTCATTGATTTTCAAGCATGGAAAAATAAAACACTTCGGAACAAAATCTGAGGGCCTTGTAACAAGGGATATCTGGTTTTTTCAAATGAATGTTGATATTCCTAGTGAAAGATAGGATTTTTATTTATCTATTGTTGTCTATATGTTGTTAAAATACTTCTGCCTTACCTTTTATATTATTAAAAGTTATTAGATTGAATGTTTCATGTTATCTGTTAGTGTGTCAAAAAATAATGCAAGACTTTGTTATACATTTTTATAAATAGTATGAAAAATCCATTACACTTAACAGACTTGAAACTGCTGGATTTTCAAGTCATTGTAAAGTAATACAGAGTTCTTTAAGTATTCTCTGATATACAATTTTTGTGTTAAAATACATTTTAGCCCTCAGGCTTGGAGTAATGCAATGTGTGCAATGAAATCTTTTACCAATAGGTGGTGCTAGAAAGTTTAATATTTAATCCAATAGTTGGCTTTACTGAAAAACTGCTAAAATATTTTGTTTTGTTTTTAGATATTATGAAATCATGTGAAAATAATTAACCCTTGCTTGTTTTCTTACAGTTCCACTGAAGACTGTTCGACTGGTTAGTGGTGGAGGCCCTCATGAGGGAAGAGTGGAAATTTTACATGAAGGCCAGTGGGGCACAATTTGTGATGACCACTGGGAACTACGTAGTGGACAGGTCATCTGCAGGAGTTTGGGCTATCCAGGTGTTCACAGTGTGCACAAGAAAGCTTATTTTGGACCAGGTAATTAAAAATACATGTTTTTAATGAAATGTAGTCATTCTCTCATAGTATAGAGAAGGAACAAGGAGAATGAATGGAAAAAATTCTATGTAGGACTGTTATTTCCTTCAAATAGCTTAATCTTGTTTTATTATCAGAGTTAAATCATACATAATTTGACGTCTTAGTTTATTCAAAAATTTATAAAAGTTAAGGCAGAATAGCAAATTTTGCAATGAATTTGAAATGACTCCTATATAGTCTTAGATGCAGGAAACTAGGATTTTCTTAAATGGCTTTCTGTAGAAATAGAGGTAAAAATAAATAACTATTAAAACAAGGGCTTGTATTTTCAGGCAACTATTATTGTTCAAATTTTATTTAGACTGAATCAGCTAGCTATAAAATATTAACACAGAGAAAAAGAGAGTGATTGAAAAGCAGAACAAGAGAAATGTGTGAATTATTGACAAGGAATGGCATACTCTGGCAAGCTCAGTTTATATATCTATATCTTGTAGAGGTCTGAGAAATACCATGTTTTCATTTATATTGTCTATTGTGACACTAGAGAAGAGGGTACCAACTTTTGCATTTACTGCAGTGATGTCCCAGGGAATGAGACAAATCATTATTTCATGATTAAACACCTCTATTCTGAATAAATAGTGAAACCCATGAAAGATAAAGAAGTAATTAAATAGCCTCGGTGTATCTACCACTTATGACTTACCTTCCTTTAAGGAGCATCACATTAAATATGTGAAGAGAGAGGTTACTTCTCTTCTATTTGAGGTTAATAAAACATTGAATTATTCTTTATTATTTGCATATTTGTGGACTTTCACCTAGTGATACACTAACCTTTTCTACCATTGTTAGAATAGCTAAGAAAAGATTTCGCAGGGGTCAAATATTTGAACATACATTTGTACCCATTTTTAAAAATAAATTGGCCCCTTATAAGCCTTTTATGTATAAACATACACAAATGCTTTAAATCTGAATGACAAATTACAAAAAAAAAGTAGCTGCATATGTAATACTGGAATTTTAAGGTCAATATTTCCTATTTATTTATCTTACTGGCTAGATCTGACAAATAATTCACATATCAAATATACATATATATTTGAGTTTTTGATCTTATGAGTTATTCTAGTTAAGTATGGGCAAGAGGGAATCATCTTCAAAATTATAGAGATAAAGTAGCAGTATTACTGGACAATTTTATCTGTAGTGATAAAATAGGAGATTATGCCAATGATCATTTCAGTATATTAGAACAAGATAAGTAAGATAGCATTCTTAAATTCATGAAAGAGATAATTAAGTAATATTGTGCTACATTCATCTTGTTAAGCAAGAATTATGTGCCAAGTATTGTGATAAATAGCTAGGTAGTATTAATAATTGATCACTACAGCATTCTTCATTCTTCTTCCTAAATGAATTCTTTTTAATAGATTTAAAAGAGAGATTTAGGACCCTCCCTGGTGGTGCAGTGGGTTAGAGCACAGCACTAAGAACCTAAAGCCACTTCAGCATGAGTTCAGTCCCTGCCCTGGAGGTGACCCACGTGGTGCAGCAGACCCCTCCTGGCCCGCCCGCTGCTCCCCTCAGCACTGGACTTAGTCAATCTGTCTGTCTGTTCCCCATTCTGCCTCTGGTGAATCCTCTCGCCATCCCTGTAGCTCTGGTCTGTACCCTAGTTCTGTATTTTATTTATTTTATTAATAAATAAAAATCTTAAAAAAGAGAGAGATTTAAGCAGAAAATCAGATTCTAAAGTCTTCAGAGACCAGAAACAATTATCTAATTTCTTGAAAAACTAGAGAAGTCAATAGATAGTAGTGATATTAAAAGTTTCTGCACTCAGATTTGGCTCCTAGCCACCAGTTTTTTAATTTTGCCTTAAAGGATTGACCAAAAGAAACAAAATAATTAGAAAATATCCATAATTTTCCATAACCAAATAGAGCTTTGAAATTTCTAAATTTTCCACCTCTAGGATATTTTTTAGAAATTTTCCCACTGGTTGAGAAATGTGGCAATAAAGTCATTTGGATCCCTTAAAATTTACCTCCTGTGAAATATATTAAATATAATTAGGTGACTTCTTTTTTTTTTTTCTCCAGAGAAGGGAAAAACAAACAAACAAACAAAAGCCATGATCACTTCCTGGTCACTGGAGAATTGAACAAATTAGTCTAAGTCATTTAAAATACTAAATTGCCAATCAGAGTTTCCATAATGCTATCCAGGGTGAGAATCCATTTGTATGGTAACAGATTCATAGCATGAAAGGCCATTTATTTTAAGTATCTAATTCTATAAATGTTTCAAATAACTCTTAGAAGTCATATAAACTAATAATAGAAGGCATATAATTCTCAGCCATAGTATTCACTGGAGGGTGGCTAAAAATTCTTCAGTCTTAGAAATAACAGTATATGGATGATTTTAATTCACAATTGTGTGGGTTTCTGTAGAAATAGAAGTAAAAAAGAAATATGCTTTCAGACAAACATTATTATTTAAATTTTATCTGGCCTGAGTTGGCTAGCTGTGAAATATTAAGCTTTTTTTTTTGACAAAATGTAATTTGCCAATTTATATGATTTAGTGTATATAGACTAGATAAATAGCTTAATCGAAAAAGAGAAATATTCCTAAAATACCTCTCCTCAAGGTGAGCTGTTTTATATAGCTTACATTACCCACAGTTGACAGTTCTGATTTAGCTCTGTATGAAAAAAAGAAGTCTGGGGGTAACTTTTGTTAATTTATTTTTGTTTTTAATTTTATTAATTTCTTACAACATGAAGCAAACCTGTAATCAATTACAATCAGAAAAACAAATTCAGAGCAACACTAGTTATAGAGTCTAAAAAGGTTTGGCAATTACACCATTAAGGCAGAATAGGGAATAAGATGTTCCACTCAGTTATATTTCTTCTCTAAAGTTAAAGACTTGCCATAGACTTCAAAGGTGTTTTTTCATTTAAGTTCAAACACCAGTGGCAAACACACAGTTGGACACTATTGTCTTAAGATTGCATTAAGTTTAAGGCCAGTCTCACAAGTGAAATACTCATGCTCTCACAGCTTTTATTCACATTTGCTTCTGTCTATATGGATTTCTGGACTAAGACATTGGTTTGAAAGGAAGAAAATAAGTATTCTAAAAATACTGGCAAGAAATGTTTTCTATTTAAATAAGTAATCAAACAATAGAGTTTAGTCTTATGAAATTAGCCGGCTACATGGAGACTATTCTCTCAAATTTGCTGTAGGTAGATAAGTGCTTCTTTAGTGAAACTGTATATTTATGATAGTGATTCTATACATTCTACTATAGTTTTTTTTATATAATAAAATAACCAGGATTTTGACTTTTCTTCCACATGTTCAAGTGCCTACTGAAATGAATTGGAAAGACTAGGAGTTTTATAATTAAGTAGATATGAGTTGAAACCTTAGCTCTGCTACTTATATCTCAGAGTTTCAATTTCCTTTTCAATATCTTGAGAATAATAATACCAAACCAGCAGATTTATTTTGAATCTTAAATGAGTTGGCATATAGGAAATGCCCAATACAAAGCCTGGCAAAGATCATAGCCATCAACAATACCAAACTGTTAATTACAATTCATTTGCCATCCTTTTTGAAAAGGAGAAGACTTAGAACAGCATAATTTTGTAGGGTGATATTGATGATGTTGCAAGGGTCATGAAGTTGAAAGTGATTTTCTTTTGTACAGAAGTATAACTGAAGAAGCAGACTGGGGGTTGGGGAGACCTCTAATATCCTTCCCACTCAGAACAGACCTAGCTCTTGTTTCAGCACTCGGCATAGTGTTCAGTACCAAACAATTGAAGAATGATCATGAGAATTTAAAAATTATAAAGCACAATGAGCTGGGATAAATAATAGAACTGAGGTTATTTGTTCTGGAAAAAAATAGAACCTGAAACAAATTTCATGATCTGCTTCATTGCACCTTGTATTTTAAGACACAGACTTAAAATGGTAAGATGATGTTAGATTAGACATGGCCAATAACCTTTTTATGTAAAGCTGTTTAAACTTCTTTTTTTTTTTCTTTCTACATCTCTACCATATATTTTCAGTTTCACTCAGTAGAAAAGAAAAAGCAATCTGAATACAGGCTAGAGATGGAAAAAGAAGTACACAAATATATGTGACTGGAAAGGAAGTGTAGAGAGAGAAGCAGAGAAGCATTGTGGTTTTAATCATCTGCTATTCTCTTAGGAAAGCCAAAAGAATCAAATTAATGCTACATTATATATTACCAAGATTGAAACAAACAAAAAAATAACGTATCTCCTCTATAAGTCTACCATTAAGAAAATACAGTTTTCTATACAGTTTTTCCCTCTCCTTTCCCACCTGGTTTTAAGAGCAAAACAGGCTAAACAGAGATATTACTTATTAGCCTTAAGAACAATTAGCTTTGCAGCTGCAAGGAAAATGAGTTATAGGACTAGAGCTTAAAGTATGTTCCTTTATTTATTTTTTAAGAAGACTTATTTATTTGTGCATACAAGAACAGGGTGCAGGCCGGAAGTTCACAGGGTGAGAGGATTCACCAGTGACAGAAGTGGGAAGCAGAACAGTGACTGGCTGAAATACACTGCTGAGGAGAGCAGTAGGCAAGACAGGAGGGATCTGCCACGCCATATGGGTCACCTCCCTGGTTGGGGATGGAACTCCTGCTGCAGTGGCTGCAGATAGCTTCATAGAGCTACATCTTAACCCCTTGTGCCACCAGGGAGGCCCCAAAGTATGCTTCTTTACATAGATTCTTCCACTTTATTATACCATTACAGCTTTTGCATAAAGCATTATGTTGCTCCTCTCCCAATCCAGTCCCCCTCTCATGATAAATTAAGGAAGCAATGCGAGAGCATGGAAACTAAGTCACTTCTCTTCCTGTACAGTCTTTCCAATGTCTTGTCCCAGGGGTCTGCCTGTAGCAAATTTGAATGGGCTTT